GACCCACTAAATAGGTGGCAAAATTCAGAATGCTCTTAGAATCTTTTGCTGCAAAATCTGCTTTTCCATTTTGCCTCTCAAATTATACTCATTTGGATTAGTGGCAGTTGTCTAGGTTTAAAAAAAAACTAGGGCTTTAGAGCCAAATAGCTTAAGATTCAGTGCCAGCTTGTCCATTTACTACTTTGTAACTTGGGCAAGGAACTGGTCTTCTGAACCTTAGTTTTCTCATTTGATAATCAAGGATCAACCTTTCAGGGTTAATAGGGTGTATATGAAAGTAGCCAATATAATATCTGACACATAGTAGGTAGATATAAAGATTTGAGTTATCCACAGTTGGCAGGTAAGCAATTAAAACTTTTGATTCAGTAGTATTTACACAACGGGAGGTGATGATATACCATTTATAGTACGTGTGTGTGTGTGTGTGTGTGTGTTTATAATGTTTTACTTTTCACCAGGTGGTGGCACTTTCCTCCTGCATTCACTCAGTTCTCTTGGGTATTTAATAAGGTAGCTTCTGGAGGTCTAATTCCTGTCCTTTTATTTGTGTTACAGAAGAAACGCTGCAAATACAAAACTGAAAAAATTGAGACCATAAAGCCTGCAGATCCATTGCACCCTATAGCCAATGGAGACATAAAAGGAAGAAAGCCTTTCACAAACCAGAGAGATTTTTCTAACATGGGAGAAGTTTATCACTCTTCTTATAAGGGCCCTCCATCTGAGGGAAGCTCAGAAACTTCATCACAGTCAGAAGAGTCCTATTTTTGTGGCATTTCAGCTTGCACAAGTCTGTGCAATGGACAGTCCCAAAAGACAAAGACTGAGAAGAGGGCTTTAAAACGAAGGCGGTCTAAAGTCCAAGACCAAGGAAAATTGTTAAAAACTCTAATACAAACTAAGTCGGGATCATTGCCGAGTCTGCATGACATAATCAAAGGAAACAAAGAGATCACCGTGGGAACATTTGGTGTTACAGCAGTCTCGGGACACATCTAATATTAATTGAACTTTTCATACTGGGGACTTTTTTTTGGTGTTCTTTGAAGAACAGTCTGTGGTATTTGAAAGGATTGGGGGAGGGAAAAAATATAGGAAGAAGTACTCAGAAATAATGGTTTATGCCTTTTTAAAAAGTAGATGGGATTGTGTCAATCTTGGTTAATGCGCTACACTTTTACAAGGCTGATCACTTCCTATGATGGTAGACCTTTTATAAAGATTTTTTTTCACAGATTAATTACTGGGACAAAAGTAATTTGGAAGCCCAGTTCTTTGGGTGGGATAGGAATGAAAGCCTAACCCTCTTCCTTTAGCTTTGATCCTATTTCTTGCACCTTCCCCATATTTATGTGCCTTTTGTCTATTTATAATGCCACTGGAAGAGGAGGGAGAACTTTTTCTGTCATTTCATTTCTTTTATAACTTTGTTAGGTTTTTGAAGCTGCAAACACTACAAGGTTTTAAGGCAGTCTCTGCCAGAGGCTCAGCAGTGTGAGTCAGACAATGTAAAGACCCTAAAGACTTGCAGACCAGGTCTCTGTTTAGCAAACTCACTGGAAGTAAGCACTTGCTGGACCATTTCAGCGTGTTCTTTTAGGTAAAAGGTGATGCTCTGAATGTTATTTTCATTTAATTTATTTGGACAGGATTACTTTTTAGTTACTAACTGCGTTAGAAAAAAACTTAAGATTTTTTTCTTGCACATGACTGGTGTTTGTAAACAAATTTTTTATAAATTCACCTTTAAACACAACCAGTTGTGAAGGTTTCTTTAGCTTTGTTACGTTGTAAACATTATAGAGTAAACACTAATCCTCCAAACTTTCACATCACTGTTTTCTAGTACCAATATAAAAGTTTGAAGGCTTGGCAACTGAGCCAGGTCTCATGGTGTAATCACTGCCTATATACAATTGCACAGAGCCAGCTAGTGAGTTTGTCAAGCCTTGTCTGATCGGTCAAGTCTAAAGGGATTGTCATTCCTTGGTGTTTGCTTTGTATTGGCTACAGTGTGCAGAGATACGTATGTGTGGTGTCAATGTGTTTGTCTTTGTCTTATTTTTCCTTTAAAAAATATTGGCAATGACTGTATCTGGACACAATGATTTCTTAGTGTGTGATTGTACAGTAATGAGTGAAAGTGCAACATGTTTCTTTTCAAAAGGGAGAGAATTGACCGTTCTGTGTGGTGAGATTTAAGTTATAACTTATTGAGCACTTTTAGTAATAACTTTTTTTCTAATACCTTCCTTAGGGTGTTTATATGTAATGTGACTTATTTAAAGCTCTTTTTGTTTGTTTAAGTTGCTGCTTTAGCTTAACAGTATGTTTTAGGAGAGTAAAGTTTTTTTCTGGTCTGCACAGTTAGCCATTCAGAGCAAGAGGGCCTGATTGTACAGAAGCCCCTTGAAAAAAGGTCCAGATGAGAACAAAGTAGAGTGGGAGTCGCACCATCTATGTGTTGTGAAGAGAAGACTTTCAGTATGTAACTACAGAGCTGTAGTGCCATTAGAAACTGTGAATTTCCAAATAAATCTGAACTCTTGTCTTTATTAATTACTGGCTCTTCCATCCTTTGAAAGAAAATGCACACATTTTTACTAATTTCTAAGCATAGACTTTTTTTTGCCACTTCTAAAGTTAAATACAACAGCATCTCTTTAAATATTAATCACATTCCAGTCAATTACAAACTAATGTATCTTCACATAAGCATGTTTTTCTCTATACTATCATAGTATCATTTTTAAAGCACCAAAATGACAGTTTTGAGTCTTTATTTAGCAGAAGACATGCATGTGCTTTTCTATTAAGTGCCATCTTTAAAATAAGTAATTTTTAACTTTTCCATATCAAGTAGCTTAATAACATTTTGCAATTTGAGTTTTATTTTTCTTCTGTCAGATTGTAACTACATAAAAGGGGAAAAAATAACATGTAAGGAAAATTCTTGCCAATAGATCCATGTCTGGTTAAGAAGGAAACCACATAAGTCAAACATCCCTAAATGGATACCCAGAATGCTCCAAAATCCAAAAACTTTTAGTATTGCTCAATTTTTGGATCCTTTTGGAGGATTTGGAGCATTTTGGTTTTCACATGGGATGCCTATCCAGCAGATAGGCAGATATTCCAGAATCTGAGACACACCTGGTCCCAAGCAATTTGATAAGGGATACTCAACTAGTATGTATACCTAAATGAAGTTTTGGTGTTTCTTGATGACCAGTCTCATTTTATTTCTTCTTCTAATGTCAATTTCTTCATTCATTAAAATGGTGTGAAATAAATTTACCAGACTGAAGAAATAGTAAGGGCAAGGACGCAAAATTAAAGTTATTTTAATTGGATTTTAAACAAATACGTGTAGAGGGTGTACAAAATTTGAAGAATAAATGATTTTAGGAGGCTTGTTTGATAAAACAGCAGGTCTTTGTTCCACACTGTTACTCGTATCACCCAACATCACTTACCTTTCCCCACCAAGGAATTCTTGCTCCTTAGCAACCATTTTCAACTCTATGCCTCCCTTGACTATGCTTATCCTATGATGTTTATTGATTTTCCAGTTTTAGATACATGCCCACTTTGAATATATGAACTCATTGGAACAGACATGAAATACGTTAAACTTGTGTTTGTTAACCTAGTTGAATAAATCTATTAAAAATTATAGTATGTTAAGTAATATAACTTAGAAATACTACTTTTTAACTCTATACTTCATAGAATAAACATTCACCTACTTTTCTCCAGCTTCATTATTTGAAACATTTCAAATTCATAGAAGAGTTGAACGCATTGTCCCAGAATCATCAGTTAACACTTTTAACTTTTTGTTCATATTGGCATGTGTTTTTATGTGTGTGTGTATATGGACATATGTATATATGACATACATTTGGGAAATGAACTACTTGAAAGCAATTTGAGATACGGCCCTTCAGCTTGAATACTTCAGCATGTGTTCTCCTAGAATTAAGGACATTTGTATGAGCTACATAACTGATACCAATATCACACCTAAGAAAATTAATAATTTTATAATATCTGATATATAGTATATGGTCAAGTTTCTGGTCAAATTGACCATTTAATATATGGTCAGATTTCTTCAGTTATCTCCTACATCCATACATTTTCTTTTTTCCTTTTATTTCTCTTTTTTTTTTTTCCTGAGGTCCAGCCAAGTGTCATTTGATTGAAATGTGTAGTTAGTATCTTTAAAAAACTGCACTGCTTTATGACTGCACATCTATCTCCCCTGTGCAAGGGCCATATGTATTTTATCTGAATCATTTATTTTTTCTGTATGAGCTACCAAAGTGAATGGTAAGAGCTTTTTTGAGAGAGGTATTGATGTTTTTACCCAACCTGCAAGTATTCATTTATATAACATTAAGATATTTTAAACTATCCTGCTAGGATACATATTTATGGCTTCTGCATTATTCTCCCCTTTATTTTTGTTTGTTTTTGGTACCAGGGATCGAACTCAGGTCCTTGGCTTGCAGGACAGGAGGCGGAACCACTGAGCTAAATCCCTGGCTCCTTAATTTATTATTTTTAAAATTAATCTTTAGAATATTTATTTACAACAATGTGCAGTTGTTGTAAAGGCTTCACTTGGAGTTGTGAAGTCAAATACTCTGAACCAAAGCTGTTTTAAGTTTTTAAAAGTAGGTCAAATCTTAAATCCCAAACGAATGCCTTCTAACACTTTTAAAGTCTTTATGAGCAAACTTTTTTATTTTTTTAAGTTAGCAAGATAAAAAGTTTTAGCCCTGGAATGGTTCAAAATAGCCAGATGCCCAGGAGGTGGTAGGCCAGTTTAATAGCAGATTCTCCTATTTGCCCTTTGCCTTTTAAAATGAATTTGACAATGGACAAATCACAAGTTCACTGAGCATCAGGTTTCTCATCTCAAAGGATTGTTCCAAGTATAAAGTATACTAAGAGGGATTGTATTCCTAGCATGTAGTACACGCAGTGTAAATTACTAATGTCTCATTTTCTCAGCGTTCTCATCCCTGATTTCCATGTATCTGTGAGCAGGGGTCAAGAAAGAAGATCTTCATGCTTGGTGTAAGGATGCATCATCTCCAGCCTCAATGTACACCATCGTGTGAAAGGTCAGCAGGAGTTTTGAGCCAATTTTCTGTGAACTTCCTCCTCTACTGGGAATTGAATCCAGGGCTTTTTTTTTTTTTTTTTTTTGACAAGATTTCAATAAATTGTCTAGGCCAGGATAGGCTCAAACTTTCAGTCCTCCTGACTCAGCCTCCCAGGGTGCTGGGATTACAGCCGTGTGCCACCACACCCTGCTCTCAGCCTCTCACACACATTCTTTAGGTCACTCATTTCAGTACTATTTCAGCATTGATGATTTCAATGTCTATCTTGCTTTTTTATTTTTTGTTTGTTTTTCTTTTGGTACCAAGGATTGAACTCAGGACCTTGTGCTTGCAAGGCAGGCACAGTACCACTGAGCCAAATCCCTGGCCCTATCTTATGTGTTTTTTTCCTCTATCTTTTACCTTTTTTCTCCAATGGTCTTGTTTTCCAGACTATATTAGCTACCTAGTCCAATGAATAAATTATTATCAGTATGCATAATCCTTTCTTAATACCAATTTCAAGCATCCAACTCTGACCACCATCTCCCATGTTTTCCAGCTCATGTGTCTTCACCTCATACCCTAACTAATTCCTTTATCTTGCCCAGGTCTACAATCTGGTCTGCACTACTCCTTATTCTCTTGAAGTCCTCACTCTTCTCAGCAAGATTGAATTCCACAGTCTGTCTTTAAAATTCTTCCCTTTCTTATTTAACTTCCTTGTCTGTCTCCAGCCTTCACACACTTGCCCAGAAAAGCAATTCCCCGGTGAAATCCAGTTTTCTGCTGCTGCACACCTGTGTCCATAAAGCTAAGGCAGGCCAGGGAGAATCATGGTGACTGTTCTCATGTCAATTTATGACTATTGATCTCAAATATGCCCTTAAAACTGCTGACAGTCATACTACATTTTCTCAGTCCATTTATCAGTTGTCCTGCACTATTTCAGGCTTTCTCCCCAAAAGACATTTCCCTGTCCTTATATCAGCTTATGACCTTTCTTTCTTATGGAGAAAAGATAAAAGTTACCAAGACCTTCTCACAAGCTCCTCCTCCCATCATTTATTCCTTTCTGTCTCCTAGGACCCATCAACAGCTGTAGAATCTCTGCTGAGTCCTGGCTGCTCCTTTCAGGCAGCCTTCCTGGAGAGCACTGAATCCAGCTCCTGCCAGAAGGCTATAACATGGGGTCCATACTTTGTCTCCAGTAAAACTTGGAATGCTGCCCAATCCAAACAGGTTATCAAACTTTTTTTTCTTTATTAATTTTATTGGTACATTTTAGGTATACAGTATAATGACATTCATTATTGGAAATTTGCACCTGTACATAATCTCTCTTGGTTCTTATTTTTTGCTCACACTATCAAAGTAGCCAGAAAGCCTCTGTCTCAATGTTTACATTTTCTGGGTAGTAGACTTTTTTGATTCAGTATTTCTTAATTCTTTACAGGGCTAGGGGGCCATTTGCAGAAGAATTGATTTCAGGGATTAGGCCAGTGGAATTTGTCCCATGAAGTCTGTATTTTGTAGTCACAGCCTGGTAAGTCCTAGGACTTGGATATACACTAAATTCATATTCTCTTTACCTACTTGGGACAGAATGTTGCACTTAATACCTGTCCTCTATTATCTTTTAAAATAGTATCAAAAAGTTACAAAATTATATAATCCTAATAGGCTTTAGGAGAAAGAAAGATAATGCTCTTGGAACAGATTATAGGAAATAAATTTCTTAATGGAAAACTTCCAGCACTCTGGGAACTAGGCTGAGGCAGAAGGATCTCAGGTTCAAGTCCAGCCTGAACAACTTTGTGTCTTAGCAAGCACTGTCTCAGAAAAAATGAGAGGGGCCAGAGATCTAGCTCAGTGTGAAGGCCTTGACTTCATTACTCAGTACTGAGGTTTTTTTTCTGTGGGTGGGTAAATGGGCCTTAGTACAGAGAACTGGAAATTGGAAGAGAGTCCTTTAAGAGAAAATATTCAATTTAGAAAAAGGTGCTCACAATATGTATAGTATGTAGTCATCAGATAAGAAAATGAGTCCTTTCAAAGAGGTGTTTTGTTCAGTGAAGCAACAAATAATTTTATAAACACAATTGATTAGTCAAAGTCTGCTACATCTCTTTACCTTAAGGGGTCAGAAAGTCTACAGTGTCAAATTCTAAGAACCAGGTAGTGATCAGGAGAAATGAACAGTATTAATATCAGCAGTAAAAACAAGGCTTCTTTCCCTAGGAGCAGACAATCAGAATTCTTATTTATTGGGGTTTGTGGAACTTTAAAAGACTAAGTACAAAAATGACTCAAAATCCCCACATGAAAAAGAATATTGATTTGAGGGAGGCTGAAATGCTAATTACATCAGACAGATCAAAGAGGCTCTTCTTTAAAATAACAATATCACAACAGAGAACGGAAATTGTGTCTATTTTTTTCCCCAAGAGTCTCTGGTCTCCTCCTAAACCTCCAAAAAATTTGTTTGCATGAGCCCCACCCCTGCTGCACTATATCTGCTCTGCATACCTCTGTGTCTGAGAGCAATGCCACTTGTCAAGTGGCTCAAAAATAACTGAAATTTTTACCACAAACCGTATTTCCTATATCAGGCTGGATCTAGTACAATGCTGTCTGCCTAATGATGGTTATATCAAATAAATAAAACTGGGCATTTTATACTTTATTTTCTTTACAATGACATTGATTACTTTAGAGCTTGCTGCAGTCTATTTCATTGTGATAGTTTTATCTTTTTGTATGTTACTGGGAGAGAACCTCGTGCTAGCTTACTTTTCATCGATCATATGGATACTCTGCAAACTGATTCATAGGCTATTATTTCTCACAAAGAAATTATCAGTTATTCCATGTTTGAAAAGTGGTTGGGGGTTTGTATTTCCATTGTGCAGTATTTATGGAAGAGGAGTAATGTAACTAAGAGTCTGTTGAATGAAATTTAAGGAATGATTTATTATCTCCAGTATTTTTGCTGAGGGATAGTAATAAATTGTTTATCCATTTCATACCTCCTTTAAGAGAAATTACAGGTGCACAAACCTCCACTGGTAATAAAGTTGAGTTACTTACTCCCGAATTTGTAATTTAGTGACTTTCACCATATGTTTTACAAATCCAGGGTTCTTTCTTCAGTGAAATTGTCTTTCAATCTGTATCTTAAAGACTCAGAAATTTACCGGGAAATGGAAACAATAGTGATGGACATTATCAGGGATGGATATGAATTGGGAATGGGCATGAGGAAGGCATTTCATCCAAAAAGAGCCCAAAGAAGCCCAAAGGGGCAAAGTGAAATGAACTTCAGAGTGACAACTGGTCATTGACCTCATGGATTTCAAATTTATTTTCCAGGTTGGAGGAAGTTAGATTTTTTTTCTTTCTTCATTGTTAGAAGATTATGGAATCATCATCATGAGTTGTTCTGCTCACAAAGATTGGTAGGTGTGGGATCTCCAAGGTATTGTCTAGACCCTTTGTATTTCTTTTTCCTTTTTTTTTTTTTTTGGTACCGGGGATCGAACTTGGTGCCTTGCACTTGCAAAGTAAGCAACAGAACCACTGAGCTAAATCCCCGGCCTCGTAGACCCTTTGTAATAGGGCCACGTTTGAGATGACAGCTATCTAATATTCAGGAAGTAGCTTTTACCTATGGTCCTGGATCCTTATTGATGCTGTTCTGGGTTAATTAAAAGAGGCCCATATTTCTACTCTAGCTCAGATACAAATAGAACCTGCATAGGGGCAGGAGGTTTTATGACCAGATATACAAGAGTGGCACAGACAAGTGGGACCGTCAAGAGAAAGGACAAAAGAAATAAAACCATGAGGCAAGCTTGCCACAAAATGTGATGTCTAATGACAAGGGCCTCTTTTTCACTGGAGGAAGTTAAACAAATGAGAGGTAAGGACCTTTGGGAAGAGTGACAATTCACTGATGACAGAGATCAAGAAGAATGACTATCCCATCTCATCCTGGGAAGGTAAGCAGAATAAGGGGTAGAATAATGGCTCTCAAGCTGGCTCAGCAAGTTACCTGGACAATTTTATAAGCAGGAAAACTAATCTAGGCCACAATTTCTGATTTAAGCCTGCAGAGCCAAATGTATTTAAAACGTTTTCAGCTCCACCCCATGTGAGAAAGCAGACCTAGAGTGGCACCCCTCTCCCCAATGTGAGAGAGCAGACCTGTGATGGAGGAGTGCTGCCTCGCACCCAGGGGAGCACAGCACAGGGCAGTGGAGGCAATGACTAACCAACCGACCCAATCCTGGACTCCTGGATGAAGACAACACCTGGGGAGAGAAGGGAGCAACCAGACCCCATGACTGTTGACATTAAGTCCAACAGCCCACTTGAACCTCTGCCTTACAGCCTACATCCAGCAGAGAACAGAGGGCTGATCTCATTCCCCATTCCTGGTAGAAACAAGGACATGCTTGGCTTTAACCATAACCACAAGTCTGGGGGGAATGAACAGAGGGGCCTCTAGTGCAAGGAAGGCACCTCAAAGACCCATAGACCTTAAAAGTAGGCATAAAAAATCATTACTGGTTGGATCTCAAGACCGCAGATCATGGAAAGAAACCACTCATTCAATAACA